GGCAGGTATAGAGATCTAGCTATTTGAGAAGTGTTTTACTATTTTCTTTCTGTATGAGTGATCGTACTGGTCCGGCGCGGCACCGCGTGTGCGCAGCTATCTTATTATGATAATCATATGCGATAACGGTCATTTAGAACCGAGGTCATAATGATTTAATTGATCGTTATAATTAATGTCGTCATCATTTGTAATCTATGCAGATTTTTCAACGTGTTTGGCAGGTTTGTGGCGCCGATTGCCTGAGCTACGAATCAGATTTCAAAAGTAGGGCATTACTTAAATGTGTGCCAGGTTTGTGACACAATCAAAATTCTTTAAAGTTCGTTCATTTTAGTATTTGGGTTAAGATTCTTATTAATACTAGAGATTAGAGAGGAACATAGTAAAATTGTTCAAGGCATTTTCGAGCCTTTTTTAACGATTTTCCAGTCAGAAACGAGAATAACACCTGAATTATCCGAGAGGGACATTTAAGGATTTGCCGATGAGAGAAGCGCCAAATTTGTTATTCCGAAGAAGTAATCATTTAAGCCATGAACGAAATTAAGCAACTGAAAAATTTTTAATCGGTGTATGAAGAGTAGTTATATATGCAATTCTTCGAGAAAAAACGATTTTTGACGAAATGAGCTCTTCGTTTTGAATTTTACCATTACACCTGATTTTGCACCCTGCCTAAACTACGAATTAGATTTCAAGATCAGTTGCAACGTAACACTATCAATAAATTTTAAAACAAATGTTCGTCGCTTACTTTTCATAATTCTACATAAGAAATCACTTTTGGTATTCTAACAAAAAGGTTTTTGTTGGGCAATTTTACTATGCAAACTACCCTTCTCTAGCCCATAACACTAACTCTAACACTAAAATGAACGAACTTTAAAGAATTTGTGCTGCGCCATTATCTAAAAGATAATATTCAGGCATATAGTACTTACCATAATTACGTTATTCAGTATTTCTAAGTTTTGTTTGTTTAATGAGTATTAAAATCCTTTATCAATAATTTTCGAATAGTCCGAATTTACATGTTATACATGATTGTACTGGTCCTGCGCGGCATCACGCATCGCACAGCTATCCTAATATTGATAATGATAATGATACAATATTAGTAGGTTAGTGAGTTCAAAAAAATTACAATTTTGTGTACCTCGAGCTTCTGGACCTCGATCGGATAATTAGGATTCGGACTTTGGATTGGACCTACGAAGTGCTAGGACAAGCATAATGCAAGCTAGCTAATATATGCAAAATTACAACTGAGCAACTTTAATTGGCTTATCGGTTAGCGAGTTTATTAGTAAAATTTGCTAAAATTTGGTAATTTTCGGGTATAATTAATTGGGCCTGAAGGCTGGGTTATATGAAATGATAAAATTTTTTTGACATCACTATATGTAATTATTAATAATATATATACTTAGAGGACACTTCAAAATCAATGGACCCAGTGATAATCACATTACGTTAAATTACGCAATTACATTACATCATTTATTTACTAGCACTAACAAATCGGCCAAAGCTATATTATCACCTAACTCTAAAACCAACCTTAATTTAGGCCAAGTGTTTAATCATGTAATGTGATGATACAAATCTATCACTGGGTCTACTGATCTTGAAACTTCATGTCGGGTTCAAGTGAACCTAATCTGGGTTCATTTAAACCCAAGTCGGTTCAAGTGAACCCAATCTGGATTCATTTGAACCCAAGTCGGGTTCGAGTGAAACCAATCTGGGTTCATTTGAACCCAAGTCAGGTTCAAGTAAACCCAATCCGGATTCATTTGAACTCAAGTCGGGTTCAAGTGAACCTAATCTGGGTTCATTTGAACCTAAGTTAGATTTAAGTGAATCCAAGTCGGGTTCAAGTGAACCCAATCCGGATTCATTTGAATTCAAGTGAACCCAATCCGGGTTTATTTGAATTCAAGTGAACCAAATCTGGATTCATTTGAATCCAAGTCGGGTTAAGTGAACCCAATCTGGGTTTATTTGAACCCAATTGGATTATGTGTCAAAATTGGGTTCATTTGAACCCAACCCAAGTTTAAGTGAACCCAATCCGGGTTCAAATCGGGTTCACTTGAACCTAACACAGGTCCAAGTAAATCCAATTTGGGTCTACTTGAATCTAAACCCAGGTTCAAGTGAACCTAATCTAGGTTTAAGTGAACCTAACCTGAGTTCAAGTGAACCCAAGTTAGGTTCACTTGAATTTAATAAATAAAAAAACTGGGGTTGGACACCCAGAGCAACGCCCGGGTCTGAGAGCTAGTAATCAACAACAATGTTGTTGGTTCTAATACTAAAGCGCAATTGTCAATCACGGACAAAAATGCAATTTGGGAACCTGCGATGTAACCTCAAATGCTATATGGAAACCTGCGTAGCAGGTTTCTATTTACATAATACACACTACTTCGTAGTGTATATTATTTATATGATTTAATTTAATGTTAATGTTAAATGATTAACGTTAAATAAATAATGTTAAATTAATAACGTTAATCATTTAACATTAACGTTAATTTAATTTAACGTTAATGTTAAATAATTAACGTTAAATAAATAACGTTATTTATTTAACGTTATTTATTTAACGTTAGTTTGAGTATATGATATATCGCACATTATATTTAATAAATTTAAAGTGCAATACATCATATACATTTAAATAAACAAAGAGTTAATTTTAAAGTGCAATATGTTAATATTATTTATTTAACATTAGTTTGAGTATATGATATATCGCACATTACATTTAATAAATTTAAAGTGCAATACATCATATACATTTAAATAAACAAAGAGTTAATTTTAAAGTGCAATATGTCATAAATTGTTAATTAGTAGTATATGACGTATCACACTTTAAATTCAAGTTTATTTACCATTAAGTTATAAATTTCGGCATATTAGATTTAATATAAAATTTAAGATCAGGTGACTAATATAAAATCCTAATAAAATTTATTTATTTATTTTTTTTTACAATTAAATATTTGCAATTTTTATCATATCTTAATTTTTAAGCAAAAATAAATTTTTTTACAATTTAAGATCAGTATAGGCTTCAATTTACAGACTTCAAGTTGTGCAATTGTTATTCGCCAGAGGTTACAGTTCTATTTGTTGGGGGACTTCTACTTCAATCGAGTCACTTGAATCTTTTGGAGATTGTTCATCAACTGTACACACAATGCTATTGCATATGTCCAAGATTTTTTTCACTGTCCCTTTGAGTGTTTTGACAATTACTTCGTCAAGTGTAATATTGCCAGAATGTTTAATTTTTTTTTCTTTCTTATAGTCACTTGGTGGCTCCTTTAAGGCTAATGAAGAAGCATTTGGTACAACTGAAAAAGCTACTTGACAGTTTTGAATAGTTAATTTGAACATCACATACAGACCCTTCCAATCCGCTGTAGCCTTAACAATATCTTCACTAACCTTATTAGGAGCCATACTAAGCAGACCAATTTACGAGCTAAAGTGCTGTAAGCACCAACTTCACCATCAGTAGCTTTAAGATAGATAATCTTAATTTCATTTGAATCGACCTTGGGCACCATGTCGAGTATGTTTTGCTTCAATGAAAGAGGTGCTGATAAAATATTCATAAAACTTTTGTTCAATCCCTATAAAGTTTTTGTTGATCAAGAATTTATTCTTATGCTGTTTTCATTACAGGACGTTAAATCTGAGAATGTTTAGTTAATTGCTTACTATATAAAAAATGTATAATATCTAATAAATATTCTGTAAATATTCAATATGGAGTCGATTTGCCAAACAAAAAATCAGATAACTTGCAAAAGATTTTTTTTGTAGTGAATATTATAAGAATATATACACATATTTACTTTTAAGACCTTCGTTAGCAAATGAAAAAAATCTTTAGAAGGCTAATTAAATCAAAAAATCAGTAACCACTTATGTGTTAGCAAATCTTTACTAATCGAGTTCTCAAGTAATGATCTAATTCTCAATTTTGTATTCGTAACATAGAGCATTTTCTTAATTTTTTATGTGTTGAGTTTTACTTTATTAAAGTTTTCATTTTATATTTAATCAAGTATATTTTATTATCACTAATTGATATTTACTGATTATATTTAATTATTAGCTAGAACAGAGTTGCATACCACCTATGTTAAATTTTTCATTTAGGTTCAATATATTCATGTCAATTCAGCAATCTATATATTTTCTAAAATTAATTAACACGATTAACAAACTAAGTCAGCTGATGAAATCATAATGCGAAAAATTTAATTGTTAGTTAAAAGAAATACTAGACAACCTATATTAAACCTTTTATTTAGGTTCAATTTATCCAGATCAATTCAGCGATCAATATATTTTCTAAAATTACTCTATACAATTAACAAACTAAGTTAGCTGACGAAATCATAATGTGAAAATTTTATTTGTTAGTTGAAAGAGTTGCAAACTACCTACTATTAAACCTTTCATTTAGGTTCAATTATCTATGTGATCCAGCGATCTATATATTTTCTAAAGTTGCTCTACACGATTTACAAATTAAGCTAACTAATGAAATCATTATATGAAACTCTCTATATTATAATAAAATAAATTAAAAAATTTTCAAGATTAGGTTGTAATGCTAAATCTAATTCAAAGCTTTATGATATATATTTTTTTTTTTGATTTTAAGGTGACCTCTTTGCCACACTGCTCTTTATTCGAATATTAGTAGTATTTTTAACCGTCA